CGTCATAAATGGTTCCAAATATTTTATTAATTAAACCAATATATATTGACTTCGAAAATAACTGTGTCGAAGGCCTTAAGTTGACTTATATTTCGCTTAGGCTAATTCTAAAATAGTGATTTATTTTATAGTAAAATATATCTCTTATCCCGTATCTTGTTTCCGATGTGGGACAAAGAGAATTTGTAAAAACAAGACTACATTTATTAATTACTTCATGTGAAATTTGCTAGCCTCACTTTTTTAGAGATACAAAATTTGCATTGTTTTATTTAACTAATGCTAAAAATAATTAATTTGCACATCAACTAAATAAGTGATGTAAACTCTTCTTCTGAATCGATTTTTTCTATGTGAGACACTTTAAGATAAATTAGTATCATTTTTATGTAATGATGCCAAATGCACCACTAAGAAATATTACGAGATTAGAGATAAAATCATAAAACTAGTATTGGACACCTAATTTTTATACTTTGAATTTGAATGTTATGAGATTAACATAATATCTAAAAATTAATTTCAAAACATAAATAAGAAATATTACGAGATTAGATAAGCTAAAAGACTATGTATGATCAATATTTGATCGATAATGTTGTGACCAATTTATGTCAGGTATTATTCGTAAAAAAAATTATTGACTAATTTTAGACCAAAATTTGTTTTAGTCGATAAATGGTAAGAATATTTTGACTATTTACTGACCACTTATATTAGTCAAAACATTTTTCATCATATTTCAACCAGTTTATTTTTTTTTTATAATATTTTGGTCAAAAATTTGTAAAGAAACATATTGACCATTTTACTAATAAAAATTTTGATCAAAAATTAACATATTTTCTTGACCAATTTTCAACCAATATTCTTTGTCGCAATTTTCTGAACATTTTTTTTGACAAAGTTACGAAACCGTCAAAAATTGGTTGAAAATTTTCGACCAATTTTTTACTCTTATATTTTGTCATATTTTTTTGACCAACTTATGACGAAAATAAACGTTCGTCTAAAATTGGTCAAAAAGTGGTTAAAATAGTTTATGACCACATACAAGTTGGTCAAAATTTGATATGTTTCTTTGTAGTGTTCTTGTTGCCGTGGATTTGTTCCTAGTGTTTGGAGATTTGGCTTTGATAGGTGGAGGTGTTGGGGTGGTGGTCCTAGGGTTCGAATTAGTGGCAATCAGTGATCCTCTCTTCCATTTGTCTGTCTTTCATGTTCTCGGGTAGAGATCGA